GTAAAGAAGGTTGGATCAGATCTTGATGGGGTTTGATGAAGCAGACCGGAGCCATTGTAAAAGGTTCCTGAGCTGGCTAAAAGATGTAGAAGCCTGCATGATGTGAACGCTAGAAATAGTTTTGAAACCATTTTAAGATGGATGAGTGTGAGGTGTCCCCTGCTAACATAGATGCTTCGCACTTTTACACGCAAGAGACCTTTCCGTAGAGTCGTCCACAAGCTGGGGCATGTATTCTAAAATCATGGTGCTTCGGCCTGGCAGTTGCAGCATTGGCGCTCGAGATCACAGCAGCTCCTGAGCCAAACGTCGAGAGCTGAGTATGCAGGACATCTCGCACCACATTCAGCCATTGTAAAGCTAGAGCCAACCCCCAAACCTTCAGGACATCGTATGCTGGCATGTTTAAATGCGTGGCTCAAAGCTTTGCAGTGCTTCAGCTTGAAGCCAAAGCGGGCAGCGCCAAACCATATCGTGCAGAACAATTGATAGCACGAGAGCGGATGCCAAACACAATGCGCAAACGCACGTGCACAGGATGCAGACCATCTTGTGTTGTGCGCAGTGTGCGTTTTCCACTTAAATTCCTGACTCCTGCGTGGAAACATGTGGATCCTCATCCTGTAGACCTTCAGATCTGTCAGGCAGATGGCAAGGGAGCTCAAGTATGAATCCTTGTTGTTTTGCTTTGACACTGTGCAGAAACATCATCAGTTGCAAAGCATGCAGCCAAAGCTAAACCTTGTAAGTCGTTGTGTGCTCGTGTGTACTCGAAGACAGCCACAGCTTTTCATTCTAGCGTTTCGGGATGTTTCAGCACCCTGCACCCAAGGCCATCTCAGCATGCCACGGCCGAAATCCGGGCCGTAGAGGAACGGTGGAGTGCTGGTGAGGGATTCTCGGAATACATCCTGTAGACACTGGCCCCTTTGAAGCATTATGGAGGGCATGCCGGGAGAAATTTCCATGCCTTCCAGAATTACGTTTCAGAGGATTTATCCATAGGTTCTCTTAAGCAATAAGCTGGAGGTTTCATGGTCATGCTTGGGAAGAAGGTGTATGGGCCATACAACAGTTCTTCATGCTCCTTGGTTCCTTCCATCCAGAAGAGCATTGGCCTTGCAAGCGGTAATTGGGAAAGTCTCAGTTCTTGTCCAAGAGTCGCGCTGCGGCAAAGGACTGCCTGGCAAGAGGCGTTTAGAAGCATACTGGACAGCTCACAAGTTGATCTGTTTCTGCACGCAGGCGGAATGTGCCCATGCTGAAGCCAGGGGCCTGTGCTTCAACTTTGGGCGCTTGGGGCGTTCATGTTTGCCAAGTTAGCCCTGAGCTGCACCACGGGTAAAATCCTAGTCAGTCCTAGGCTGAGCTGCAGGCATGTGGTTGAAAGCATGCTTAGCATTTCTTAGCATGCTTGATTTTGATTCGTTTCGCCGTCGCTGTCGCCCTCGCAGGCCAAGGCTGAAGCTGTCGAGTCGGCAGTGCTCTGCAGCCACGCGTCAAGCGGGAGCCTGAAGTCTTGGCATGTTCACACACATTGTCTGACCACGGCTCTGTGTGAGGTTCGCATGCGCGACGACGGCAGAAGCCTTCGACCGCAGCAAAGGGAAAGGGTGCCGCAAGAGGTACAGCAAAGCCTGCACCAGGCCAATCGAAGCTGCCCAGTGGGGCTTGTTGCTGTACTTTCCATGTGATCTGCATCCCGAGCCTAAGCAGAACACAAGCAGCAGGGCATCTGATGTCAACGTCGTTAGCATTAGATCTGGGAGAAGAGTCTGTGTTGCTTGTGAGGCAGAGGCGGCTATAGTCCACTGAATCTGCTTCGCTCCGTTTTAAAGGTGGAGGCCGGGTCTCATCGGCACCTGTAGCAAGAAATGATGGTCCTGTACGCAGGACACAGGAAGAACGTCAGTTTTGATGTCCCCGGCAGGTCATGTAGCGACATCCGAGGCAAGATCTAAACGAAGCAAAGAAACTCTAAACTGGTTTGGAAGGTTGTTGGAATCAAGTATGAGGACTAAATTCCGCTGCTAGTTATGCCCTGGTGTCCCGGCGTCCCACACGATCATTACCCATGCTGGTACTATAGTCCGGTGGATAGGTAACATGCCCTCAACCGGGAGAGGAAGGCTTAACCGGAGTACCAAAGACCTATTGCCTATTGGTTCTTAGCAGGGACAATGGAAAAGGAAATGGAAACTACTACGTTATAATCGAGTATATATTGGGGTTATAGCAGGGAATAAAGGAATACATTACATAGTAACTGGTTGTATTCCCTAAAGGGAATACAACCACTATACAGTTACTATGTAATGTATACCTTTATTCCCTGCTATAACCCCAATATACACTCTATTATAGCGTAGTAGTTTCCATTTCCTTTTCCATTGTCCCTATATAATCCCAATATATTCCCTTATTGCCCTATTAAGAACCAGTAGGAAATTTCAGTGAGCAACCAGTCAGGAGCAGCTCTCAACGATCGAGTCTGAGGCAGAGGAAGTCACCAGCCAAGTGGCACAGACCTTCAAGGCCACCTTGCCAGTTGAGCTGTAGTCCCCCTTAAGTAGATAGAATATGGGGTATATGATGGTATATGGGGATCTTGGTATAATACTTAAGGGGGACTATATGGTCTAAACTCCTTAAAGCCTTGAAGGTTTTGGTTCTAAAATCCTTGAAGGGGGTTATATAGGGTTTAGGGTTTACGGTTTAGGGTCTAAACTCCTTAAAGGCGGTTATGTAGGGGATTATTGAGGGGGATACTCGGAGTTTAGACTATAGCCCAGGGTGTGAAGAGCGGGGCTCCAAAGCTTGGGGAGTTTTCGGTGTTTTGGGATATAGACGAAGCAGACTGCACGCTGTGGAAATGCTCCCACAGCAATTGTTTCTTTATATTCTTTTTCCATGTTTGTGCCCCTGTTTGCGCTTCCCCCTGTTTGAGGACTGCACTCTGCCATGCAGTATGTATGGGGACCCGATGAGGAACCCTTTTCTGCAATAAGTGCACCGTCCCAAAACAGAACGGCGGGAATATTTGCAAATGGGTGGGATGCGGCCGCAAAATATCAAGCTGGCCACGTGAAGAAGACCCGTAAGGTGACGGGTTCGCGATATTGGTACGACCGAAGAAGACATGAAGGCTGAAGGTGGAGAAGACAGTTCGGGGCATTCCTTGTCTTAGGCGGGGTGTGACTTCGGGTTGAAGCGTTGAGGGCAGAAGCTTTGCTGGCCTGGCAGTTTTCAGTCAAGCCCTCACGACCAAAGGTGTCGATGTGTCTGGTTCAAAACTTGTTAAATGCTACATTCTTTCTCAAGGGGCGCGGGACACCGTCATCTGCCTGTGAAAATTCAGCCGTGCCAGTTTCCGGGCATTGTTGAGCAAGGAGGTCAGGTAAACTATCAGCCACCGACCGAGTTCCGGAAGGCTGCATCCTGTCGCCCTAACTAGCACCTAAGCCACAGCCCACGCGCGCCTCATGATCGTTTGTCCTGTCGCATCTTATGGCTCCAGTGCTTTTGGGGCTCTCTTCGGTGACATGGCCAGTGGGATGCTCTCGTTATACGAACTCAGGCTTTGTTCAGCTTAGAGTATCCAGCATCGTTTGCCTTGCCTCGCAGTGCAGGTTATTCTCAAATAGCCATCACCATGCTAGATGACTTACCGCTACTGACAAAGCACTTTAGGATAGAACAGGCAAGTTTAGGTCTGCAGCCACCATGGTGCTGCCGCTGCCAACAAACACAGATAGTATTACTTCGCTGCCTGAGGATGTTGCTTGGCGTGCAGAATTTGTGTTTGAGCTCTATTGAATTTACATATGAGCGATGCTATATGGCTTTTTGCCCAGTATGGTTTGTGCAACAGAGAGTTTTGGCGGATAGTTATTTGTCAGCATGAGCATCAGCAGTGGTAGTGCTGGTGAGAGCGGTAGTGGTAGTGGTGGTGGTGGTGGTGGTGGTGGTGGTGGTGGTGGTGGTGGTGGTGGTGGTGGTGGTGGTGGTGGTGGTGGTGGTGGTGGGGGGGGCGGCGGCGGCGGCGGCGGCGGCGGCGGC